TAGTTTTATTATGTTTTAATATTATGTCATTATTTGTGAATAATAAAATTTGACTTCATCTTCAATATACGAGTATTTTCTTAGCAAAGACGGATCTTTTGTGAATAATAAATTTCATAAAGTCAGTAGGTTAAAGCTTCTTATAAAATCTGCTCTCAGTGTACTTAAAATATTTTATTATTACATTATCCAATGTTTTAAAAATAGAACAGTCTATGAATCTTGAAGCGTTTCTATATAAATATAGTAAGTTCCACCTCCAGTGCCTTGTCGTTCATACAATAAAGGTTATCATTGTAATGTTTAAATAATACACTGTGCGTTCGCTAAGACGTTCGCTAAGACGTTTAATTCCCGACTGCCGCCGCACGGACAATCTCGTGCTAGCTACCGAAATCTATATACATACATTACACTCCTCTACACTAAATTCATACTTATGACTATAATAACATATAACAATATTTACCCTTTTTTTACATGAGGAAATGCCCACGCATACCCGCCTCGCGGGGGCAAGGTCGGGTTATGTCGGACTCGCACCGAACAAAACCCCATGGTGTTCCACCCTCGTCGAATATTGGCAGGGCCACGGGAACGCTTTCGCACACACCCGTGGCCCCACCTGCGCTGGCCGCCCCATGGCGGCCTCTCCTCAGGAGAGAACTACTCCTCCCCCATCTCCTTCTCAGGTAAGGCGCACCAGGACACATGGCGCGCCCTCCTCCTCGGTCTCCAACTTAACATGCGCAACGGACGCCCCCGTGTCCGATACGCGAAGGCCATGGGGCCAGGAAAAACTAGCACTCAAAAGCACCAGCCTTCCTGACCCCAGCGGCGGATCTGGTCTATGGCTCCGCCGCCAACCAAGATTCGGCTGCGGACGGTAGAGAGAGCGGCGTCTCACAATACCGACACTCCTCTCCCCCCGCAGCCCCACCACCACCGCATCATTTAACGGTGCGGCCCCGTCTGAGTCCCGGAGGATAGGGCGAGTGGCGCATCGCCATACCAGCACTCCTCTTCCTCCGCGACTCCACCTCGGCTGCAGCGGTAGAGGGAGCGGACACCCCTCTCACCGCAGTCCACCGACACACATCCGAAGTGGGCTCGACAAGCCCACTCGGAGTGGCCACCACAGGCCGGCCCTACACCACGGGCCAGCCAAGGGGTTACTCTTTGTTCACCGTGGGTGACCAAGCCACGGCTACTAAGCTCCCCCGCCACGACAAGGCGGGAACCCGTTCGGGGGGGGGGGGACATAATATTTACCCTAAGTCAACCATAACAATAATACTTAAACTAAAACATAACTATCTTAAACCAATCCTAACAATGATACTTAACTAATTTTAATATAAGTAGTACTTAAATTACATTTACTTAAACTATTTCTTCCCCTAAAAATACCACACATTATTCCTTAAAACAACAATTACTTACACTACTCATTTAAATAAAACTAATTTTACGGATTTTATCGCGTATATTAACTTATTTTATATTCCCGACGTTTCGGGTGCTTTCCAGCACCCGTGGTCACGGTGGACTGAGGTGTTTGAAGTCCTGCTGTCATAGTTAGTCCGGCTACCTTCAGTTTCTTAATATTAATTTTTGGTTCGGTTTACGCAGAATGAGCTTACAGTATCTTGAAGTCTAGCAGTGGTATACTTGGGTTTGGATTTGATTTTTTAATTATGGGATCCCAAGCAGATGGCAGCACCCATCCATCTTCTCTATTGAAATTAGGATGTTTTTTTAATTTCAATAGCCTCGCGAAACATCCTTGGGAGGAATCGGTGTTCTTTTGCGAGGATTTGTGGTCTATCAAATCTAATTTAATGGCGGGGACGATCTTGAACATGTTCACAAACTGCAGACTTCCCGATACGTCAGTGCTTCACGTCAACTATATGCTCTTTAACGCGGGTTTTTATAGATATTTTTGTTTGTCCTATGTACGAGAAACCACATTCACAATCCAGCTTGTACACTCCTGCATCTTGTAGAGGGACATGACACTTGACGGATGGTAAAAATTGACCAATCTTCTTCAGCGGTTTGAAGTATGTTTTAATGGAAGCTCGCTTCAAGATGTAGCCAATCTTGTCAGTGACACCTCTGACATATGGCAGTACAGCAGGCACTCGCTCGACTGTGGCTGGATTCACTCGGTCACTGTGACGTAAGCGCGGGACTCGAAGCTTGTTGTCTTGCAGTACTTGCTCGACGTGCTAAAGCTCGGCGGCCAGATGTTTTCTGTCACAGATCCCTCGTGCTCTCTGAAACAAAGATTTTCCCACGGTAGCTAACTGTGAAGGATGATGGTGCGATTCACCATTTAAATATCGGTTGGTATGGGTATTTTTTCTGTACACAGTATGACCAACAGTGTTATCAGGATTTCGGATGACTAAAACATCTAGGAAAGCTAAAGTATTATTTGCGTCTAACTCCGTTGTGAATTGTATTTTAGGAATAGAATAGAATAGAATAGAATAGAATAGAATAGAATGATTTTTATTCAATATGGATTATTACATAATACTTATTGAAAGTCATTATTTTATTTACCACTGGTTCGGAAAATACCTCTGTCCTGGGAAGAACCAGCAAGAAACCCAGCGGGACTTTTTTTTTAAACATAATTTCACTTAACAATAATTTTGATTATACAATTTTAAATGAATTTTCATAGAACCAGCATGGTGGCGATCACCTTATTCCCAGGGGTTATTTTCACTCATGTATTCCTTGATATTATAATAACCCTTTTTGTACAGTTTTTCTTTAATAAAACTTTTAAACTTGTTTATTGACAAACTTTGAACATGTTCTGGGATTCTGTTGTAAAAGCGTATACATTGCCCCATAAATGAATTACTAATTCTGTGGAGTCTTGTAAGTGGCATTACAAGCTTATGTTTGTTCCTAGTGTTTAAGGTATGAACATCCTTATTCTTATTAAAGCTATTTATGTTTTTATGTACATACATTACATTTTCATAAATATATTGCGATGCCAAAGTTAATATGTTTATTTCTTTAAATTTTTCTCTAAGGGACTCTTTACAATTTAGATTATAAATCGCCCGTACGGCTCTCTTTTGCAAAACAAATATAGCTTCAATATCAGTCGCATTACCCCATAGCAAAATTCCATAAGACATTACGCTATGAAAGTAACTAAAATACACTAACCTAGCTGTCTCAACATCTGTGAGACTTCTAATCTTTCTTACAGCATATGCTGCAGAACTAAGTCTGCTTGCTAATTTAGATATATGGGGGCCCCATTGAAGTTTCGCGTCAATAGTAATACCGAGAAAAACAGTGGTATCCACAAGACTCTAGGGTTTATGGAATTAAGGTGGTTTAAAAATGCAGTTACTTTGTCAGATGGTAAAATTGTGAAAGTATTGTCTACGCTTGTAGAATCTTGGATTTACAGGAGCAGTAAAAAGGGCTTTCTCCTCAAAGTCCTCCATGAATATGTCGGCGAATACAGGAGATACAGGTGAGCCCATTGCCACTCCGTCTACTTGCATGTAGAACTCTTCTTTCCACAATAAATAGCCAGATGTGAGGCAGTGTTTGAGAAATACTGCATATTCTGTGGGCATGTTGTAATCTTCTAGCTTTCTAGTAACAATTGAGATGCAGTCTTCAATAGGTAGGCATGTGAATAGTGACTGAACATCAAAACTGACCATAGTTTCATTGTCAGCGAGATGTAGGTCTTTTATCTCACTAACAAAATGGTATGAATCCTTAGTGTGTACTCTGGTATGTCCTCTTAGTGGTGACAGTATTTTTGCCAAGTGTTGAGCCAACTTATACGTTGGTGAATCGATCTGGCTTACTATAGGACGTAGTGGAGCGTTTGGTTTGTGTATTTTCGGTAACCCATACAATCTCGGTGGTTTGGCACATGATAGTATTGTCGAATTCACGTCGAGATCAAGATACTGTAAGCTCATTCTGTGTCAATCGAACCAAAAATTAATATTAAAAAACTGAAGGCAGCCGGGCTGACTATGATAGCAGGATGTTAAACACCTCAGTCCCCCGTGACCACGGGTGCTGGAAAGCACCCGAAACGTCGGGAATATAAAATAAGTTAATATACGCGATAAAATCCTTAAAATTGGTTTTATTTAAATGTGTAGTGTTCGTAAATATATGAAATCATTTCTTACACTACTCCAATCTACATTTTCTAATAGGGCGAGCTCGAGGTGTAGCACCAAGGGGCAAAGAGATCTGCCGTTCTTGTGACTCCGCAATAGCCCTCTCTAGCTTAGACTGATCTACTCCTGATCTGACCTCTATGGGGGACGAGCTAGTCGCCTCCGACGGCCCCTCCGACCTGCGGGCGGGACTAGTACTACCTATCGGCAAATGAACCACTTGAGAATCTGTGGTGGACTGTTGATCGAAATTGAGTGTAGTAGAAGCGAGAGAGCCTATGTATAATTTCTCCGTCTTCACCTTCCACTTTAAAATTACTAGAGCCTAGAATGTCTACAATGCGACCCTGAATCCATTTTTCCCCCTTTAAGTATTGCCTATATCATACTTCTTCCCCTTTGCCGAAATTCCTATTCACTCCTGCGGCCGCGTCTTGCTGACGTCGCTGAGCTTGATGCACTTGACATTCCCTATCAGGTTTGATGACATCCAGTCGTATACGGATTCGCCTAACAAAAATAAGCATTGCTGGGGACTCACCCGTTGTTGCGTGTTCGACATTTCTATAATACATTAAAAATGAACACAACGCCCTATCTATATTTTGATTATCTTGCAACGCCTTTTTTATTACTCGTTTTAATGTTCTTACCGCGCTTTCCGCCAGACCATTCGAGGAAGGGTGATAGGGTGCCGTAAAATCATGCTCTATGCCGTTGTGCTTGTTAAAATATTCGAAACTCCTTCGACGTGAACTGTGCTCCATTGTCCGTTACTATTTGTCGAGGTAAGCCGAATCTACTAAATAATTAATTTAAGCGGTCAATTAAACAGTTAGCAGAGATACTCGTCATTTTATGAACTTCAATCCATTTCGACATGGCGTCAACTACTTCCAAATATATTTTTCCCGCGATGAGACCCATGAAATCCAAATAAAGCCAACTCCAAGGCCGTGCGGGCCAGGGCCATATTCGCGGCGTGTTTCGCGCCGGCGCATCTGTCTGCGCCGTGCAGTTTATACACTCACGGCACTCTCGCTCCACCGCCTCCTCCATGCCGGCCCACCATACATAGCTTCGAGCCAGCGCTTTGGATTTCACTATTCCCATATGAGGTTCATGAATCATAGCCAAGATTTTGTCCCTGCAATTTTCCGGTACTACTAACCTATGGCCCCACATTATACAGCCCAGCTCCTCGTATAATTCTTTGTGTCTATTCCAATAAGGTTGAAGATTCGTAATTTTGCAGTGTGATGGCCAGCCGTCGCGAATATAACTTAGTACTTTTGATAATAATGGATCCCGCAACGTCTCACGTTTAATGTCGCTATAATCTAATGACAGAGCTTGTTGCACAAAATGCAGGTACGTTTTTTCGGGTGGGGCTGTCACGTTTTGTTTATTTGTTTTAAGCGGTAACCGCGATAAACCGTCCGCCCCATATTCATCTGTACGGACATACTCGATGTCGAACGAATAAGCAGATAAAATAATTGCCCATCTCTGCATACGGCTAGCTACCATGGTCGGTATTCCCGTATTCGGGCCAAAAATGGAAACTAAAGGTTTGTGGTCGGTGCGTAATAATATAAACTCCTCCCGTATAAATATTGGTAAAATTTATTCATGCAAAAAATAATAGCCAGCGCTTCACGATGTATTTGGGAGTAATTCTTTTCCACGTTATTTAACGAACGCGATTCAAAAGCTATGGGCCGCTCGCTCCGGCCCTCGTCATCTACCTGGGAAAGGACGCCCCTGACTCCCCGCACGCTTGCGTCACAAGTAACAATTAAACGTTTCATAGGGTCATAATGCGCTAGTACCTCGGCACTGGACAGTATTTTTTTAATTTGAGTAAGCGATGTTTCGCAATCCGAAGACCAGTGCCATTGATTATCTTTTTTTAACAAATCGTACAACGGAAATAACTCATCACTCATATTCTTTATGAATTTGCCATAGAAACTCAATATACCTAGAAACGACCGCAACTCCGTCACGTTAGTCAACGTGGGTATCCCTAATATGGCTTCTACCTTCGAGGGATCGGTTTTAATGCCTTTGCTACTTATAATATATCCCAAATACTTCACCTCATCCACTAGAAATACACATTTACTACTTTTTAATTTGAAACCCGATTTATGTAGTCTACTTATGACTGTCTCCAGAGCCTTTAAATGGTCGTCTTTGGTTTTTCCTCCGATAATGACGTCATCTAAAAATATTTCTACGTTAGGTATCCCCTGTATTATATTACACATTATACGTTGAAATATTCCCGGGCTCGAAGACAAGCCATAGACCAATCTGTTATACCTATACATGCCCCTGTGTGTGTTTATGACTGTATATTTTGTTGTATCATCTAATTATCATTGAATTGATAATTAGATGATACAACAAAACCGCCGTGTAGTGGCGGTTGAGAATATCCACTACCCCATATCTTCCCGTGGGTGTCGTAAAAGGCGACAAAGGGAAACAGGCAGGAGATGGGCAGTAGCATCTTCCTGATAATAGCCAAAATAACAATAAAAAACTGCGGTTGCCAACCCGCTCGCCAAGCGTGGCAACTATGGCAATATACCCCCCATGAGCAATGACAATAATAAATGGCCCCCAGTCCCCGGCGGCCCCGCTATTCCTGGCTATGGTGGCGACCATGGTAACGGCGAGGCAGGGGGTGCTAAGAATCTCCGGTGGAGGTTCGGTTGCCACCTCGACCTGGCAACATACAACGCACGCACCCTGAGGACTGACGAGAAGATTGTGGAGCTGGAAGAAGAGATAGACAAGTTACGCTGGCATATTATAGGATTATCCGAAGTCTGAAGAGAGGGGGAGGACACGGTAATCCTCGAATCCGGCAACTTGCTCTATTACCGGGAGGGCGAACATCTGTCCCAAGGAGGTGTCGGATTTATCGTCCACAAGTCTCTCGTTAACAACGTTGTAAAGATTGAGAGTGTGTCGACGAGGGTTGCGTACCTTATACTCAGAATCACCAAACGGTATTCGCTGAAGGTCATACAGGTTTACGCACCAACCTCGGCACACCCCGATCAGGAGGTGGAGGAAATGTATGAGGATATCTCTAGAGCCATGCATTCCTCCAAAACCCAATATACGGTGTTAATGGGAGACTTCAATGCAAAACTAGGCACAAGAGAGAACGGTGAGCTGAAAGTAGGGAAATTTGGAATAGGGCAACGGAACCCAAGGGGCCAGCAGTTGGCTGACTTCATGGAGAAAGAGGGACTCTTTATGATGAACTCTTTCTTCCAGAAGCGGCCCCACAGGAAGTGGACCTGGTCGAGCCCCGACGGTTCGACAAAAAATGAGATTGACTTCATTATGACGACCAGACGACAACTGTTCAGTGATGTCTCAGTGATCGCGAGGGTGAAAACCGGCAGCGATCACCGAATGGTTAGAGGCACACTGAACCTAAACGTTAAGTTGGAGAGGTCTCGTCTAATGAAGTCAACGCTCCGTCCCCCTCGTGCTCTAATCCAAAGTCCTGAAACCTTTCAGCTCGAGTTACAAAACCGTTTTCAGTGCCTAGAAGACTGCAATGAAGTGGACGATTTGAATGACAAACTCGTGGAAACTGTCCATGCGGTCGGAGCTAAGTTCTGCAAGACCCGCCGCAGAAGAACACAAAAACTCTCCGATCACACTCTTAATCTCATGGCTGTTAGACGGGAGATGAAGCTACATTCTTCAACAGATTTAACAGCATACAGGCAACTGAACAGACAGATCTCCAAATGCATGCGGCGGGACTTACGCAAATTCAATACAGCTCGTATTGAAGAAGCGATTGAGCGGAACCAAGGCTCCAAAGTCTTTGCCAGAGATCTGTCTGCCAGAAAGCGCCAACTGTCAAAGCTGAAGACAGAATGTGGCAGCATCGTTTCCGGGGCACCTGAGATTTTGAGTGAGATTGAGAGGTTCTATGGGCAGCTGTACACGTCATCGTTGGAGCCGCACGCAAGTGTGAGTAACGATCCAAGAGCGAGTGTTATCCGACATTATTCCGATGATATCCCGGACGTCAGTCTGAGCGAGATTAGAATGGCTCTCCAGCACCTTAAAAACGGCAAGGCCCCAGGCGAGGATGGAATTACAGCGGAGCTTCTGAAAGCGGGTGGAAAACCGGTACTTGAAGTCCTTCAGAAGCTCTTTAATTCCGTCCTCCATGGTGGCATTACACCGGAGGCGTGGAGCAGAAGTGCGGTGATCTTGTTCTTCAAGAAAGGCGACAACGCTCTCTTGAAGAACTACAGACCGATTTTCCTTCTGAGCCGCGTCTACGTGCTGTTTTCGAGAGTCATTACGAATCGTCTCGCGCGCAGACTTGACGACTTCCAGCCTCCCGAACAAGCCGGTTTCCGAAAAGGCTTTAGCACCATAGACCACATACATACCCTTCGGCAAATTGTACAGAAGTCCGAGGAGTACAATTTGCCACTATGTCTGGCGTATGTGGACTATGAGAAAGCCTTTGATTCCGTCGAAATTTGGGCGGTGCTGCAGTCGCTTCAGCGATGCCAAGTTGACTGTCGGTATATCGAAGTGTTGAAGTGCTTGTACAGTAGGGCTACGATGGCTATCCGAGTACAGAACCAGAGTACGAAACCTATCCAATTGCAGAGAGGTGTAAGACAGGGTGACGTCATATCCCCGAAACTCTTTACCGCTGCATTGGAAGATGTTTTCAAGCTTCTGGACTGGAAAGGATACGGTATCAACATCAATGGCGAGTACATCACTCACCTTCGATTTGCCGACGATATAGTCCTTATGGCAGAATCGCTGGAGGACCTAAGCACTATGCTCAATGACCTCAATAGTGTTTCCCAACGGATAGATCTTAAGATGAACATGGACAAAACAAAGATCATGTTTAATGTCCATGTCACACCTATGCCGGTAGTTGTTGGGAACACTAAGCTCGAAGTTGTTGACGAGTATGTTTACCTGGGACAAATAGTCCGACTAGGTAAGTCCAACTTCGACCGAGAGGTCAATCGACGGATTCAACTCGGTTGGGCAGCGTTCGAGAAATTACGGCACATCTTCTCGTCTGGTATACCTCAAAACTTGAAAACGAGACTGTACACCCAGTGCGTGTTGCCAGTGATGACATACGGAACTGAGACGTGGTCCTTCACTGCTGGCCGGATGAGGAAGCTCAAGGTCGCTCAGCGAGCTATGGAGAGGGCTATGCTCGGAGTTTCTCTGCGTGATAAACTCAAAAATGAGGATATCCGCAGTAGAACTAGAGTGACCGACATAGCCCAACGGATTAGTAAGCTGAAGTGGCAATGGGCCGGCCATATAGCTCGAAGAACCGACAACCGATGGGGAAGAAAGGTTCTCGAGTGGCAGCCTCGTACCGGCAGGTGAAGTGTAGGGCGTCCCCCCACTAGATGGAGTGACGACCTGGTAAGATATGCAGGAAGTCGATGGATGCAGGTGGCTCAGGACCATGCTTTGTGGCATTCTTTGGGGGAGGCCTATGTTCAGCAGTGGACTTGTGAAGGGCTGTAATGATGATGATGATGATGATGCAGCCGCTACTGCGCGTGCGCACCGTCCCGCCCACCACGCCCGCGCCGCTTCTCGCCGATGCTCCGACGATCCGCGCTCCCGCGCCGCCCCCACACCGCACCCGCTCCCCGCGTTGCCACGCCCCGCCACGTGTGAGCGCATGCACCGTTGTCGATTCCTGAATCCTGGTATCCTTCCCTGTTGTAGTAGCACCTTCCACTGCAGCCGCGTCCCGCTCCGCTGCTTCGAGAGAGGTTGCAATTTTGACTACGCTGGTGTATGGTAGCGACTGATCCTCCGCGAACAACCGTTGCCTAATGATGTCGCTTCGCAGCCCGCCAACAAATTGATCTCGTAAGTTCTCATTAAGAACCTCCTTAAACTTACAATGACGTGCCAGCTTCTTTAATTCCGCGACGTAGCTCGCTACGAGTATATTTTCATTGCTAGCCTGCCTGCATTGTCTGAATCGGTACCTCTCAGCGTGCACGGACGGTGTCGGTTGTAAATGCTGACGTAGGAGTTCCACTGCGTCATCGTAAGATAGTTCGGATGGTTTCTTTGGACTTGCTAGGTTTGCCAACAATTCGTATGCTTCATCGCCGATTACCGCGATTAGCGTGGGTAATTTTAACTCTGTTATTTGATTTACTAAGAAATACATTTTGTCTATCCCCATACGACGACCATGCTCCATTTCTTGAATCAAATTCACAGATTTTCCCTACCGACATTCTATTATTTACTACAGCAAGCAACGTATTACCGAATTCAACGCTATCCCAAACTCGTTGGCCACTGTAATGTTTAAATAATACACCGTGCGTTCGCTAAGACATTTAATTCCCGAATGCCGCCGCACAGACAATCTCGTGCTAGCTACCTAAATCTATAGACATACATTACAATCATCATCATAGTCATTGCAGCCCATCACAAGTCCACTACTAAACAAGGAGAAC